TATGATAGTTTCCCCACTAACCAAATTGTTTCAAAAGTAAGTTCCTTTTATGTGGGATAAAAAGCGACAAAAGAGCTTTGATCAATTGAAGACCATCTTCACTCAGGCCCTAGTGCTGACTTAACTAGAATCGATTAAGGACTTCATAGTTTTTAGTGACGCTTTGTTTAATGGTCTTGGATGTGTCTTGGTGTAGAAAGGTAAGGTCATAGCTTATACATCCAACCAGCTTAAACATCATGAGTGCAATTACCCTACCCACAACCATGAGCTAGCAACAATGGTGTTTGAATTGAAGATTTGGCGATACTACATTTTTAGCGAGAAATGTCACATTTTCACTGATCACAAAAGTCTTAAGTATCTACTCGCATAGAAATAGTCTTAAGGACTATGATTGTATGATAGAATACCATATGTGTAAAGAAAATTGTTGTGATTGAAGCCTTGAGCATGAAGTTGATGATAGAGTTGCAAGCTCTCCAAGCACGATTGAGCTTGACTAGTGAAGGTAGGTTGTTAATTGAGTTGTGAGTTAAGTTAGAGTTAGTAGGTGAGACCAAGATGCCACAGAGTTCAGATGATCAGTTAAGGGCTCGGGTTGAATAGGTTCGTCGAAGCAAGGCTTTGAGTTGCGTGATGAGGGTGTGTTATACTTTAAGGGTCAATTATGCATACCCATGGACATTCATTTGCACAGTAAAATTCTTTACAAGGCACATTGCAGTCCACTCTCAGTTAACCTATGCAGTAACAAGATGTATTAGGAGCTTCGACAGTTTTATTAGTGGACGGGCATAAAGGGAATTGTCAGAGTTTGTCGTTAGATGCTTAGTGTATCAGCAGGTTAAAGTGGAACACCAAGTCCAACCACCGGGTGACACAAAGGTCAAGGACAGCATGCGCTGATTTTAGAAATCTGAAATTGTCATCCAGTTGTACTAACTTCCATGATGCTCTGGAACGGTAGCCGTGTTCTTTGGCTAACTTATAGTAGATATCTAATCTATGCTTCCCTTTCACTTTACCCATATCACCTCTTCAATTGAATCCAAATTAAATGCCAAACAACTGGTGGAGAAGAAGGAAAAGGGAAATATGGAACGTTAAAATGAGTTTTTTTTAATTCTCCCAAACCCAAATGCCTAATCCCTGAACCAAAAATAACTAAACATATAGCTTTTCAAAATAATATATATCTTCTCAAAAAAGCAAAATAAACAAAGGGAGACAAAGTAACAAACAGAATCATAAAAAAAAACATAAAATCAAATATAGCAGAGCAATGCACAAACATATGCATAAATCAAATATCCCCAATGGTCTTCACCTAATACCTTGAGCTCTTTTTCCAACTCATTTATCAACTGAAGATTCACTACTATTTCCAAAGGTAATTATGATTTAAATGACTAATGAAATACCCTCAATATCTTCTTAATCTTGACATGCACCCATAATAACAAACATGCCCTGAATATCTTCTTAATCCATCATAAGAATTACATATAAACATACCTTCAATAACGGTATCAAATAGGAGAGTAATAGAAAAATAGATAAATCAAGAGCTTTAAATACGCAGTCCTTCTCGACAAAGTAAATCAGTAGGACTGAAAACAGAAAATCAAATATAGAAGAGCAATGTAAATGCATATTGAATATAAATCAAAATCTTATGATTCAAAGTAGAAATCAATATTCAAGTTAAGCTTGGGTCAGAAGAGAAGAGAAGAAGACGAGTGAATAGGTTTAAAAAATTTACCTTAGGGTTTGGGTCAGAAGAGAAAAAGACGAAACAATAGGTTTTTAAAGAAAATTAGAAAAAAGGGCCTATATATAATTTTAGGATAAACTACGGATTTAGTACCTAAACTATTAGTTTTGGTCAGTTTTAGTATCTAAACTTTCAATTCAGTTTCAAAATCATACCTAAAAGTTTGATTTTTGTTTTATTTTAGTACCCGTCCGTTAAAAACTTTAATTTTTGTTTCATTTTAGTATATTGTTCAAGTTTTAACATTAAGTTTTGAAAAAATTGAAAGTTTAGGTATTAAAATGTACCAAAACTGATAGTTTAGGTACTAAACACGTTAAGTTTTTAACATCGGGTACTAAATTGAAATAAAAATTAAACACTAGGTATGATTTTGAAAAAATTGAAAGTTTAAATACTAAAACGAATCAAAACTGATAACTTAGGTACTAAATGTGTAGTTTACCCATAATTTTATTTGAATAAAACATCAAAATCAAAGTTTAATTCCTAACAAATATTGTTAAATTATATACAAGATGACACCTGAAGATTTTATCCCTTTTCAAATCGGTACATGATTCTTTTTTCCCCTCAAATTAGTGTTAAAAATTGGTGTTCCATTCTCACAACCATTCAGATTGTGACATATGAAACTAATTATGGCACTACAAGAAATTTATACTATTGTGACAAATTTAATTTTGTCAAAATTAATTTTGTCACTATTAGTAGCTTTTTGGTGACAAAATAAATAATCGTCGTATTAAATTAAAAAAGATATACAATTATGACAAAAAACTAAAATCGTCATAATAATTTGTCACGATTAGCAAACATGTGTAACATATGCTGACAAAATAAATTTTATTACGAATTTTTATCACAAATATTTTCCTCCAATTTTTTGGCGCTAAATTAAAGGCATATATAGTGACAAATTTTGTAACTAAAAGTTTTAGTAACTATGACAAAAAAAAATTGTCACAACAAATAATGAGATTTAGATTTGTTGTGACAAAATTTGTTTGTGATTATATATTTTAATTATAGTGACAAAATGTATAGTCACAAATGATTATCTCCAATTTTTTGTACAAAAACAAAATCATATAGTGACATGATTTGTAATTATAAGTTATAATTATTGTTACAAAAAAGTTGTTACAACAAATAATGAGATTCAAGTTTTTAGTGAAAAAATGTTTTTCATTCTATGTTTTAATTATAGTGACAAAATATATTGTCACAAAGATTTCCCTCCATATTTTTTGCGCAAAAAAAGTCATATATTGACAATTTTTGTAACTATAAGTGTTAATAATTATTATAAAAAATATTGCCACAAAAATAATGATATTCACGTTTATGTGACAAATTATATTTGTAGTTATAAATTTTAATTATAGTGATAGAATATATTGTCATAATTATTTTCTCCACTTTTTTTGTTTCAAAAGTTATATTGACAATTTTTATAATTATAATTTATAGTTATTGTTATAGAAAAAAATTATTACATCAAATAATAAAATTCAAGTTTTTTGTAATTAATTAGTTTTATACTTATATATTTTAATCATTATAAAAAATTATACTATCAGAACTATTTCTCTCAATTTTTACTGTTGAAAAAGTTATATAGTAACAAAATATATTGTAATTAATAAAATTTAAGTTTTTTGTAATTAATTAATTTTGTAGTTATATATTTTAATCATTATGAAAATTTATACTATTAGAAATATTTCTCCCTATTTTTTTGTGCAAAAATGTTATATAGTGACAATTTTGTAACTATATGTAATAGTTACTGTTATAGAAAAATTATCATAAATTTTTTTCATTTTTTAAATTAATAAAAAATTTAAGTTTTTGTAAAACAATTATGTTTGCAGCTATATATTTAATTATAATGATAAAATATAAATATTATTATAAAAAACAAAATGTTCAAAAATTTTATTTTTTTCTGATAATATATATATATATAATTAAATGGCATTTTCAAATAAAATATAACAACAAAAATATATTATCAAAAAGTTCAGGGGATTGTTTATTTATTAAAAAATCATTATTTTAAATTTAAAATCTAAAATACACAAAAAATAAAATATAAAAAATAGTAAAAATGAAAATTAAATTGTTAAAAAATTGAACAATATATATATTGAATTAAGAATCAACAAGCTAACTTAAGCCCTCAGGTAAGGCGGTCCGTGTAAGTCTTGAACAATATATATTAACCATAGTTGGGTAAATTTCCTATTAGATTTTTTACATTAAGTTTAGGTAAAGTTTACTTCCGTATATCATGTTATATTCACTACAATACTCTTCTTAGTTGTATAACTATTTTTAATATTTTTTATTATATAGTTTCATAATGGTTAATGATAGAAGTTGTAGGTTAAAGGGTCACGTTAATTGTTTTTTTCTAAGTTTGAGGGTCTCATTGAATGCAACAATAATTTGATGGCCAAATTGTTTTTTTTTTTTTTGAAAATGTACAAGAGCCTTACGTATTTTTTTTTGAAAATTAATATAAATTAAATAAATATTAATCAGGTATCGATGACTCGAAAATACGGGTACCTAGGTTTTATTTACGAGGGAAATTTCTCTCTATTTGATTTTAAAGGAAATTGATTTTTAAAGGGAAACTGGTTTTTAAAGAAATTTATTTGTATTTCTTTTATAAATACTTTTTTAAAACCCTCAATTTAATCGTTTCAGTCCATTATTCCAACTTTATATTTCTTCTTTCATCGTGAAGGCAAAAAATAAAACAACGAGTTTTTTCTTTGATATTATGTCTAATTACTCTAGTAGGGATTTATTTAAAAGAAATCTAAACCTAAGGATTTGATCTAAAATTAAGATTCTATGACTACATTGAGAAGAATATAAATTATCCAACAAAATTAAATGCAAATAAAAAGAACCAAGAGATTAAAATGTAATAAAATAAAAAGGCAATAGTTAATTAAAAATAAAACATAATAGCATAAAATGATGACTAGATTGTACTAAAACAAAACAGTGAGCCACGATCAGAAATAGTAAAGAAACATTCAGTGACCAAATTAAAAGAAAGAAAAACAAGGGACAACATATGAAAATACGTGAGAATACAAGGACCAGTATATTAATTAGACCAAAACTTTTAGGAGAACACAAAAACCCTAGCCTTTCACGCGTTTTGTTTTCACTTGGCCAGTTCTCCTCTTTGTGCGCCGCATCTACCTTCATTTCGCCTCCCCTGTTTGCAAATAAATGAATTTGAAACCTTCATTTTCATCTACCTTTCATCTTCTCCATTTTCTATGCTACGATCCCATCATTTCGCCTCTCCTCCTCTTCAAAGGTTTTCAACTATTCCTAACTACAAAACTGGTATGTCTGCCATTCATTTTGATGCTTCATCATCTTTGTTGGTGTTTCATTCATGGTTTGCTACATGTATGCATGCATGTTAATTTTCATTCGTTTTCGTTAACATATTCTTAAAAGAGTTTGGGATTTTTTTCGTTAACATGGTTTGTATTGTTTTTGTTTGCTTTTTAGGTTATGAGAATAATTCATGCCATTCTCTTTGATGGAACTGTTGTCACAGATGTTGAGGTATATTTGTTAATTTGTACATCGCTCTCCTGTATTGGAAGTATACTTGGCCTAATTTGATGAATGTTGCACTTTTTTTTAACAAACTCCAATTCTATTTAAATAGTATTTTCCACGAGTCGTTTAGCAATTTTCGAATCTCAGAAGGGACTGACGAGTCCTACAACTTATATTTCAGCAAACGAGAGTCGCTAGGTACACTTAACAGAGGCACATACAAACACATAAATCTCAATGAATTGGGTGTGGATTGAACTTTACAGATTCTCTATAGATGAGCTCCTTAATGTTTTCTTCTGTAACAGATGTGAAGATACTAATTTTTTTTATCCATATTATTATTATTAATATTATTATTATTATTATTATTATTATTACTATTATCATTATTATTATTATTATTACTATTATTATTATTATTATTATTATTATTATTATTATTATTATTACTATTATTATTAAATATATTAAATACATATAAATATTATTAAAAATAAATAAATAAAAAAAAAATATAATTATAGGCCCAATTACAACTGGACCGGCCCAGTTACAAACCAACCAGAGCCGGTCCAAATCCAACCAGAAACCCTAAATATTTGGGTTTCCAGTTAGGGTTTCCTAACCCTAATTTACCCAGCCGCCTCAGCTCACAGCCGTTGGATCTGGCAAGATCCAACGGACCAGATTGTCCCAGATGGAAACCCTAGGGTCTGATACCCTAGGGACACGCGGCCGCCGTTGCTATCTCGCCGCCTCCGCCGCTGCCACGTCCCAACCGAAGACTCCAGAAGACAGAATACCAGCCGTCCACGCCATGGCTACTCGGTGAGTCACCACTGGTAGTCCGGTGACTCACCGAGAGCCCTTCTTCGGACCGGTTCGACGGCTACAACGGTGGTGGCTATAAAAGCCACCACCCCATCTGCAAGAAAAAACCGGAGAGAGACAGAAACTAGAGACAGAGACAGAGAAAAAAAAAACAGAGAAAAAAAAAACAAATATACCAACGATCTCAGTCAACATCAACGCAGCAAGGAAAAAAAAGAAAAGAGAGGAAAGAAGCTTACCCTGTCAACGGAGAACCACAACCGTCGCCGGATCTCACCAAAAATTTCGAAAAGCCGAAGGTATTATTTTAGATCTGCTCCGATTGGGAGCCGTTTAACGAAAAAAAACATCGGAACCGTCATTAGGACGGTCCGATCTACATTTAGGGTAAAAAAAAATTTTTCCGGCCACCGAAGACGGTGGCCGGCGGCGGCGGTTGACGGCGGATGAACGCCGGCTAACGGCTGCCGGCCGGCTGGGCTTCTCTCTATTTTAGAGAGAAGCGAGAGAAACTTCTCTCTCTCAGATAAGAGAGAGAGAAGGAAGAAAAGAAATGAAATGGCTGGCCCTTCGGGCCAGCCGGTTTGGACCATATATAGTCCTTCCCGAACGACGTCGTTTCGGGAAGGACTATGCGCGTAAATATAAAATAGTTAAATCCCGTCCGTAGTCCTCCCAACTTGTAAATTTTATATTTTGGTCATTAAACTGAATTTATGATAATTTTAATTCAGTATTTGAATTTTAATTTTATTCATTTTAGTCTTTTTTATTAAAATAATATATTTAGGATAAATAACAGATTTAGTCCCTTATTTTTAATAAATAATATTTTAATCCCTGGTTCATATTTTTAATTTATCTTATTCTAATATCTGAATTTTAGATAGTTTTATTTTAGTCACTAAATAAAATAAAAAATAATAACATATTTAATCCCTATAGTTTTGATTAATTATGAATTAGATTTTTAATTTTATTTTTACTATAATTTAGTCATTTATTTTATATGTTTTAATTTATTTTATTATTTTTAAAAAATATTGTTTTAGTAGAATTTTTCTTTTATTATATTGTTAAATATTTTATATATATTCATAAATATATATAATAAATAATAACTTTTAAATATTTATTTTTAATATCGAAGAAAAGGACAGTCTTAATACAACTGGATGTCCTATTCTGATATTTTAAAATTAAAAATTAAACAATATTATTTAAATTAATATTTATCAATATCAAAGAAAAGAGCTGTCTTAAGGCACCTAGAAGTTCTTTTCTGATATTTTTAAATAAATAAATATATTTTTGAAATAATAAGATTAAAAATTAAATATATTTTAAAATTTTTAAAATTTTAATAATAGAGACAATTTATAATTAAAAAAAAAGTACCAATTTTGGGCGTTGTAGGGGTGCTAATCCTTCCCTAAACGTAACCGACTACGAATCCCTTTTATTATTAAAAAGAACGAATTCTTGGTTAAAACGCAGATCAGTTTATCTTTTAATTGATGTTTTCTTAAAAACTCTTTTAAAAGATATTTTTTAGGTATTCGATCTACCTGACCCAAAAGGCCGATGGCGACTCCCAAATTATTTTCAAAACCATTTATTAACATCAATTTTCCCGCCAAACAAATAAATTCGTGCCCGGACGAAAACCGGTTACGACAGCTTGGCGACTCCGCTGGGGACCGGTCAAACTTTTAAAAAATCAATTATAAATTGTCTCTATTAGTTAAAAATTAAAAATTTATATATTTAATTTTTAATTCTTTTTTTCAAATTTTTTATTTATTTATTATTTTTATAATATTTATATGTTTTATTTTTGCAAGTATTTTATTTCAGTATTTATTTTTCTGTCAGAGGTATGAATATTTCTCTTCACACACAACACTTGCATTGCATAACATAAAACTCTATAATTGAGTTGTCCCTTTTAAGTGGGAGTGAAAGCGACGTCTTCGTGAGAATTTATTCTCCGTGTCAGACCTAGCAAGTAACTTCCGGGGTTCATATGCTCTATATCTTCGTGAGAATTTATTCTCCGTGTCAGATATAGAGAAATGTATCCCCTCGAATTGAACTCGATCCACTTTAGCCTGTGATGGACTAGGATTGAGGGTTAGCAACCCAAGGGGGCACTAACAAGGACAATTCGGGTACCTTTATTCTTAGATCTGAAACCTTGCATATAAAAAACCCTTAGAAACTCTTCCGATCAGAAGTCATGCCGAAATTTTGTCCAAAATAGGTGTACACACAGGAGAAATGAATTCTGACTTTCTTGTTAATTTATTTATTATTTAAATTACATGTTTATTTAAATTATTTAAATTTAGAAAAGCATGTTTAAATAAAAATTATTTATGTAAATGTTAGATTTCTTTATTATGTAAACTAATTTATTTTCTTTTTGTGTGTTCTTTATTTTTCTGTTTGCATTGCATCATACAGGATAAAAGACATTGATCCTTGTGTTAATTGTCTCATTGGAAAGCCTTCATCTATGGATAAAAAGTGTTCAAATCAAGTAATTCTAAACTCAGAAGTAAGGCAGTGGGCTGAGGACTTACAAAGACAAGAAGGAGACAGTCTGCAGGATGATTATATATCTGACTTGGCCAGCTATGCTCCAGTTTCACTAAAAAGAAATGATATGCAAGATTTGCGAAGCATTTGGGAAAGTTGGGATTCAAACAAAAAATTGCAGTTTTATCAGACTTACGGAGACATCCCATATTTGCTCTATGTTGAAGTTGATGATGAATTACTCAGAGCCCTAGTTCAATTCTGGAATCCAGGGTACAATTGCTTCACTTTCAATAAGGAGGACTTGGTCCCTACTATTGAAGAATACACAACTTTACTACATATAGATGGGGCTTTGGAGAGTCGAATCTATTCAAAGTCAATTAAAACTCAACCCTTTCGAGTTAAATTAGCAAAGATTGCTGGGGTACGAGAAGAATGGGTGGCATCCCGTACAAAACAAAAAGGCGAAAGTGAAGGCATTGCTTGGACCAACATCAGAGAAATTATTCAGAGCCATCCAGATATTAAAGTACGATTCGATCTATTTGCTCTGGGTATATATGGTATGGTCATCTTCCCAAAAGTATTGGGATATATTGAAGCTGCAGTGGTAGACTTGTTTGAACAGCTACCGAAGAAGATTAATCCTGTTTCTGCAATCCTAGCAGAGACCTTCAGATCATTAAATGCTTGCAGAAGGCTAGGAGGTGGACGATTCTCAGGGTGTACTCAGTTGTTATATGTTTGGATCCGTAGTCATTTCTGTAGGACAGAAAAGGTTTCATACCGACGCTTTAATACGGATTATTCACCATTAAAAGAATTTCTGGAGCAGGAATGGCCTAAAGAAATTAAGAAAGATATGTGGATTAATGCCTTTCGAAATCTGCAAAGCAATGACGTTGTTTGGCGAGCCCCGTGGCAAATACAAAGAGAATTCTTTTACAGGTGTGGTGATTACAACTGGATAATGCTGCTCGGATTATGGGGAGGAATTGGATATGCACCACTTCTGGTTATAAGACAGTATGAAGGTCGTCAATTTGTACCTGTTACTGCTGGACTACAGTCATCTGAGTTCGCATTCCACAGCAAAAATTATAAAAGAAATATCATGGAAGCCGTTACAGCTTGGAAAACAACTTTTTGTATCCGAGCTAAAGCAGCAAAAGAAATGCTAACTCCTGATTATGAAGAATGGAGATCTGTCAGGAAAAACGAAAATATTCCTCTACCAGATCAAAATGAGGATATTTCTATGGAAGATCGCATTAAGGTGGTTCCATCAGAGATTGAAATCTTGAGAGCTGAGTTTGAAGAAGAAAGAGATGGCTGGTCGAAAGAGTTAGAGCAAATGAGACAAGATAAAGCTATGTTGGGGGTTGACATTGACTTTCATTCATCACAATGTGCAATGTTGAGAAAAGATAAAGAAAAAGGTGAGGATGAGTACAGAGCCTTACAGAAAAATTACCAGGAGTTATATAAATCCCGAAAAGCATCAGGACCCAGCCAATCGACGGTACAGATGACCAGAGAATTGAACATTGAGAAAAGACGAGTTGAAGATCTGAAAGGAAAGAATAGCCGTCTACTCAAAAGCCTGGAAAAAGGAAAGCAAAAAA